AAAAAAAAAAAAAAAAAAAAAAAAAAAAAAAAAAAAAAAAAAAAAAAAAAAAAAAAAAGAAGCCTGAAACGCGTAAATGTAGAAAGAGATAAGAGACAGAACGGACAGACGGAGAAAGAACTCTAGAGGAGGCACCTCGGCTTTCCTGCCGCCCAAGATGGCGGTAAGGATATATATTATACTTGCTAAATGCTATATAGATATATAAAATAGGATGTAGGCAAAAGTAATAATGTATACGTGCTCGAAAAACACGTCAGTTTAGTAACTGATATCGAGAAAATTAAGGGTTATTCTACATTGTCACAAGACTTTTATTTATAACATTTGAATGGCATAAAATTGTATCCATGATATTTATTATGTATATTTGTGAAAAAAGTTTTCGTAGCACTTGACAAAATTGTAAGTGAATATAACATGGCACGCGATACAACTTTACATTTTGATAAAAACAAATCTTTTCATGTTGAGAAATTTTAACTTTTGGTAGATAAACTGTGTGAAAAAGATTACACGCGGTAAAGAGTATATGATAAACGGTATATTCTTCCAAGATGTAAAAATTAAAAAACAAATTTTTTTTCATTGACCACAATTACCATAAATTGTTTGAAAATAAAAGGAATGATAATATGAATCTTTGAGTAGAAAAAATCAAACATTGCATGTACAAAAACTAAACACATCTCGTGGACTTATTGAAGACCCAATTTAATTTAATTTTAAAAATCGTTCAAATATATAACATAAGTTAAAAAGACCGACAACCTGTTGATTCCGTGTACACATCGGGAACATCTGCCTATTAACAAGCAACTGATAGAGCGTAAACAGTAACTGTTTTCGTTCGGCACGTAAGTTTCGCACACAAATACGTACACCTTGTGACTTTGAATTAAAGATAGTAGACGAACAACTGCCAAACAGAGAGTGACATTTTGTAAGCCAGCACACGTTAATATATATACCCATTTATTTGTGCGAATTTATATACGCTAAGTATAGTTAACAGACTTGAGGTGGAAAAAAGTCGAACCAAAAAATGGGAACGAGGAATTAATAAGAATCAAGTGGCTTCATTGCTGTTATAAACAACTTACTCTTTGTCAACTCGAGAGATTATAATTATTATCATTTTTTTCAATTGGACACCTTTAAATGTAAGATTTCATGTTTTTCATTTCGTGTACAATGCTTTATTATTTTAATGATATAGTATATTTTTTACAAGTTTTATTGACTTTTATTTTTTATGCTTAGTAAATTTTTTAAGGAAAAATTAAAGCCATCTTGTAAGTAGCTTGAATTGTAACTTAATTTAGGGCGTTTGGTGCCGTACCAAGTGAGGAGGGCACTTCAAAATTTTATGAACTATGAAAAAAATTCTTTGTTGATGACTATAATGATTTCATGATAAAAGCATACATAAATAATAAAATATACCGACTTGACATTTTTTTTAGAAACTTAATAATCAAAAATATATCACTGCTGCTGTTTTTAGTAGATGAGGTAAAATTAAAGTAAAGCAATTCTTGAAGGCAAATAAAAAAGTTTTCAACACATATTACTGAAAAGGAAAGTAGAGCACAATGCGAATAGAAAACTTATTTTTAAAAGGAGTTATTAGTTTAATTAAAAATAATATTATTGTTAAGCATGCATATCACCGCACTCGTCACTATTATTAGTAGAACAAATTTGTGAATATAAAACTTTTTTTTAGGGTCGTGAGCATTATTTTTAAAGTGATCAATACTTTTTCTTTAATATATGGTAGAAATATTGCCGGAAGTAATATGTACTCTATTTATTGTCTGATGTAATATCTAGGTTAATTACTGCGTAGAAAATGTATTTATATGAATAAATTTCATTTTGTAGCGTATATAAGAAAATTCTAGATAGCATATTAAAATAATGAAAAACATTTCATTAAAAATTTGATGGAATTAATAAGCAGGGCCTCTGTAAGATATGTTCATTAAAACAACACATACAAACATCAAAACTTTGGTACACTTGTAACACATTTAAAATTCTATTTTGCAGTGTTTATTTTTACTTTGTAAGTAACACACTTCGTACACAGCCTTGCACAAATGAAAACAAATATTTGTCTTCAAAAACACTTTCTATTACTTTCCCCCAAATATAGACCATGTTTACATACCCACCACTTGCACTATTTAGCTCTAACGCACATGTGTGCTTTTGCACGTCTTTTCCACTCCCTCGTTCCATCAACTGCCAAGAAAAAAAGTACTTTTTAGCGCACTAGCTCTTAATCTAGGCCATACACACAACACTCACACATCAGCAGTAGCAGCAAGCTTGTGAAAAAATGGGATATCCTAGTTTGCGTCTATCTATATGCTAGAGACTACATAAGCTAACAAATAGAATCAGCAACTAGTTCTGGAAAAATATATTCTTGCTTATGTGCCATATGATTCAACATTCAACATACACATATACATACTATCAAAATACCAAAGTATTCCTAATATCTTATTACGCGATCCTTCCAAAATCTTGAGACTCCGGGTGTCAAGTCAATATAAACAAAAAAAGAAAAAAATCCACTTGCTTCATCTTTTAAAAGATGGGTTCCATATAAACTGGAGGTCATAAACGATAATGATAACATGGACAAGATGACGAAGCTATAATAATAAACGGAGGAGGAGGAAGGGTAATGATAATGATAATTAAGTTGTGCAGGTGACTTTTACCGCCTTACCTGTACGATCTGCACACTGGACGGCCTGTTTTCGTCCTCGATCATCTTGTCCGTCTCCATGTTGATCATAGCGCCGTCCAGCTCTGCTTCCGCTCGCAGGGCGCTGCTCACAGTGCTCGTCGACGTCGTCGTCGACTTGCGATCCTGCGTGCCGTTGTTGCTGTCTCGGCTTCGGCGGCAGCAGCTCAGGCCGACGACGGAGGAGCAGCCACAGGAACAGCCACACGCCGAGCTGCTGCTCCTTTCTCCCTTGCGCTTCCTTATCCTCCTATTCTCTACACCTCGTGGTGAATTTAATATCCCTTATGCTGTCGCAGCTGATAGTTCTTTCTTTCACACACTCGTTGTCGATGATGTATTGGTAAAGGAAGATGTATCGGCACACAGCACCCCGACACCGCCACAATAGTCACACCTTTTCTTCAAACCGAACACACATATACACGCACTAGATACTTCGATGGATGTGCTCCGTTTTACTGCTACTGGCTAATGATTGAAACTTGTATGATTTTAATAGTGTATTAAATAGCCCGATTTTGTGTATACGTATGTACGTTACACGTTGGCGTAGAGACGGACATATCACCTGGGTACTTGTATTACGTATGCACCTATTTTCACTAATAAATCACAATTTAGGTAGAGTACGGGATATATAAGCCGAGAGAGGCGGAACAGAACACACTTTGGAGCTCGAGGGCTAATGATGGGAGAAGGTAAACTGGAGTTACATACTTTACTAGATTGAGCAAGAGTATATATACACAGTTACGTGTGTCTGTGTGTGCGATATCGAGGTTATAAGCTCACGACGAAGACGACGGACGAAGGAAAGGCCATTGTAATGCGCTCGCTTGCTTACTCGGCATTTTTTCTCATATTAACACTGAACAACACACGCTGAGTTTGAAATATATATTTAAATGCCACTTTTACTACGCGTATCATGTACCCTGCACAGGTAAGTACTTGAGACTGGCTATTGTACGTGAAAGAGGAAGACTAGGCGATAAGTAATGTGCAGCAAAAAAACACGCCACTCTGAGATTTCGGTACACCTATGTACCTAAGTGTATGACGAGAGACTTGCACTGTTGCTTTTACTAACAATCACTCGTTTTATCGTGTGAGTGTTATATGCACGTTTTATCACCAATTTTTAGTGCACACTAGGTTCACGCACTTTGGTTGATTGTTACACTATACATGGACAACTGACGCAGTTTATTTTGGCAGATGTGTGGGTCTTTCGATCTCTTGATTCGATGCTTTCTCGTTGAGCGGGTACAGTTTGGTTTAATTGTGCTTCCTCACTTACGTATCGAAGAAAACTTGCAATAACAATGTTAATTTAACGTACCGTACCTACAAGAAGCTGAACGAGGAAGAGTTCGAGCTAACGAATGCGCAACATGAAAAAGAGTTGCACATACGCAATGACCCCGCGATATGCTTCGTCTCTTGATCAACGCCCGATACGTTGGATTGACGAAAGTCAAATGGCAAACGGTAAGTTAAGCAACTGGAGAGTGTGGTTTCTGATCCTGGCGCCTCCACCGCAATCGCGGCGGTCGCTTAAAGCTTGTGTGTGCGCGCGCGCGATGTCCTCTCTCTCTCTCTCTTTCACGAGCGTTTAATAATTTAAACCATTCTCATTAAATTTTAATGGTTTGAGAGAGAAAAAAGGAAAAATTGTGTACATACGTGTGGAAGTAACAATTTTCAGATCTGTACGTAACGCTTCATTTACTTAAAATCTCTCGTTTCTTTTTTTAATCAGAAGTATCCGAAGCTCTCTCTGCCCCCTCTCCTATTCTTTGATTGGCCAACCGATTAACCGAAAAACCGAAATTCTATGCGCATGCGGCCTTCTAATTTTTGAAATTTCTGGTTTGGCAGAACGAAAAATATTTCGCAACCTGCATGAATCGAAGAGGCTTTTTACAAAACTGTCTGGTAACAAGATCACCTGATGTATTTCTTTAGGGAGCCTGTACATGGGTGTCTGAATGTCTTAAGACTGTAAGCCAAACCTATGGCGGGTGATTCAATTCGAACTAACATTAACTGAATATTGATATAAATTGTTTTAAACAAGATAATAGGCGTCCTGTTCGTAACAAAACTATGTTACGTGATTGCATTATAATATTGGAAAGATATTTAGCCACCAAAACTTAAAAAAATTTTGCTAACGCTAAGTCGTTAAATAGAGAGGTTATGTTGACAAAATTATTGTATTAACATGAATTGTAGAAATTTTTCATTGGATGCCTTAAAGACGATCTAACCTTATAATGTAATCACGTTACATAGTTTTATCATGAATAAAGTGTCTATTTCCTTGTTTAAATCATTTTATATCGGTATTCAGTTAACATCAGTTTGAATTAAATCAACCGCCATAGGTGTGGCTTACAGGCTTAAGACCGTTTGTACCGTACGAGGTATATATCTTAAATTAATAGACTCTCGTTTAGTAGTTTTTTTTTTCCAACTTTAAAAATAGTTCCACAAAATTATATTACTTATTTTAATTAGCGAAAACAACTCTCTAGGCCAACCATTTGTCATAGCAGGATTATCTTCTTCAAAATTCAAGCAATACGATATTATAATATGATATTATACACTAACGTGTAAAATTGTATCATTTGTATGTCGTGTATACATATATTTTTCGGCTGAAGTCAGTCACCTTGAAATTTTCAGAGACGATTCACACACAAATATATACTGCTTATACAGTTGCATATACAGCGATTATCTGAATAATTTTGATACTTACCCAATATAAATCTTCGATGTACTTTTAAGCACGGGCACAGATATTACACATGTCTACTTACGATAAATTTTCAACAACCCTTATACTCGTGAAAAAAGAGAATCTAAAAATGTTTGCATTATTTCTACTTGTTTCGTAAGAGCATTATTTACAATTGCAATATATTTTTTATGAGGCATTAGTCTTCATTTATGATTTACATTATTTTTTGTACAAAATATATGTGTCGTAAATAATAAAATACTTTACAAATAATAATCACATGTATTTACAAGATAGAAATGACACCGATTCAAGTGGTGCGGAAATAAAATAAGAGCCTTCACGTCCATTTGCTTAGCTCTATCCTTGTGGTTTTTAGTTCTTTAGGTTCCACGTGATTTATAAGTGAGGCATAAGGTTTATGACAGACTAAAGAATCCAAAGGTGGATAATAGTGTCGGTAACATAAAAAAGTGAGAAAAAATCCCATTGCAGAGCCAATCATTACATCTGTAAAAATCAATTTGAATTATAAAACTGTCACTTGTTAAGCACGTATATAATCTTCAAGCTTTGTTATAGTAAAACTAAAATTTTATAAGCAAAAATACATAATACATACCTTGCCAGTGATGGTGATAATCACATGTACGACTCACTGCTATGGCTAATGCCATAACCAGCGGAAACACAAAAAGGAACAATTTCCACGACTGGCCCTTGCCATTCCAGCTAAAAGTATGAAGTTTGCCAGCTAAGTACAATGCCACAAAACCAAAGCTTGAAAATGCCACTGTAATGAATAAAAAAACAGTTGGCAATCACAATAAAACTATTATATTTAAAAAATTAAAGCATAACTATTTCTCACAAGAGGAATGTCCACTAGGGAATGACTTTCTTCCATCTCTTATCACTATCGGATCACCTGTACACTCAAATTCAAAATTGACTTGTCCATCCGGAAAACACCTATAAAAAAAGTCTGGCCTTGGCCTTCCTGGAATGGTAAAACATATCGATATTGATGGTCTCGTTAGTATTGTTTAGTGACTATTGCATGCAAAAAAAGAGTCCAATTGCACTTTAAATGACACTAACCCACAATTATTTTAAGTATGTTAGTTAATACACTAGTAAAGCCGAGTGACAGCGTAAACGATAATACAGCCTGAGTGAAGTCACCTCTTTCGTTTTGAAACAATAATATCAGTGTGATGACCACTAGTGGAACAATGACTATTACTGCCTGCAAACAATTGAATTATATTTTACAAAAGGTGAATGATATAAAAAAATTTTAAAAATAAGCTTACCCATAATACTGTTGCAGAAACATAGGAGTCGACCCGTGGATTTTTGTACAACCATAATTCATTCTCGTGGATTTTTCTGGTGAAAGGTTCAACGTATTCCAGCTCTCTGAGAAAGTAAAGTCCAATTATTGCACAACCCTCGTTAACAACTTACTCTAGCCCCAAATCGTTTTCAAAATTATCAATTAAATTGCGATATTCATTATATACACATATTTATACAGTCGTGTCAAAGATTACAGTATATATACATGGAGAAAAGCAGACGTCAAAATCGACACGTATATAGACGAACAGCAGACAGCTCTTGGAGAGAGATTCATATCACAAAATATTATATACTAAATTTTTATCTATATATACACACTGATTGGCAGCTCCGAGAGGAAAAAAATTAAGAACAATTGCAAGTACAAGCAATGGCAATAACGTTGTGCCACATAAACTGTCAAGATGACGATAAATCGTATATTTGGGCACAATGTTGTTTGCACACTTACATAGTGACGAACGCCAGGAAGACTCGAAACAGAACCTCCATCAGCATGTTGGTTTTCCCTCCGAGCAATGCGCTGTGGTCATATCGTGATCCGCACGGCGAACATATTACAACTAAACTAAAACTTATTTCGATCCGCTCGCTCGCTCGGTCTCTCTCTGCCTCTGCGGACAAATGGTACCTATACATGGATTATAAAATGTGTGTATGTTGTAAGGGCCTGACCTGAGCCTGACTCTTTCGGGAGTTTGGGGAGAGAAATTAAGTACTAGCGCGCAAGCTCTCTCTCCTTTGCTTCCGTCATCGGTGCCCTTAAGTATACCTATGAAAGATTCTACAAAAAAACTCCACAGATGTTTTACGTGATTGGAAGAAATATTTTTATAAGGCCAAAAGATTATTAACATTTGTGTGTTGGTGCTTCCAGGAAACATGGAAAAATTGAGATTGCACATTTTAGCTGATTACGAGCTAATGTGGATAAAATTAAGTTACTTTCTCATTGAAAAAAAAAATTTTGTGGTTACTCTTTTTATAGTAGGTATATCCATGATGTCTCTACCTAATTAGAAATTCGCAAAGTTAAAAAAAAAAAAAAATGTGTAATGATCCTTTTACTAATTTTAGGGAATTATTCTGTGTTTAAGTGCGCATTTTTGGGGAATTTGCGACTGTGAGGGAGGATTCCCAAAATCAAGCTATCATGTACAACTTCCAGTGACTTAATTCTGTAATCAATAAGCAATAAACTAACGTTTAAAACTGAGCCACCAAATTTTTTTTCGGGTCAGCGTTAATTTGCATAAAATTTGATAAATTTTTGATGGAAGGTTGCTACCAACCAGCCTGAAAGGTGCAAGTATATATACGCTAGAGGCGGCTTCTGGTGATAGTTTTGACTAAAATTTTGCGATTAACCTATGCATTCCACAATTCAAGTCATAATATTAATTCAGGTTTTTAAGAAGTAAGTTTTTTTAATGTAGTTAATCACTTTTATGAAATACAACCTACACATGCTTTTTCAACCAAAAATCAATTGACAATTCGGCTTTCAAAAATAAATGGCATAAATATATAACCCCATTCGAATTCCTGCAACATCCCTCCACAGTCCACTATCAAACAAACACATGTGTACGCAGCAATTGTCCATAAAATCAGCGTGGACTCAATATGTCAATATTTCGTTGAAATTCTTTGGATCTCCAGTTTGGCACATGCGATACCAATCCGGATCTCGTTGCAAACTAGACGCACTTTTTCGATAAAATGACGACTGTATGATCGATCGAACGCCGTACTCGGATATCTTGGTCTCCGGGTAATCCTTCAAGCGCCAGCCGAAAATCCAACTCGAACAGTACGGATAGTAGAACCTATCCTCCGGCTTCGACTTGTACCTTTATCAGTGTTGTTATCAAATTTGAACCAACTTCAACGTAACGATTGAGCATTGATACCCTGTGTACGCGTAATACCTTTCACGCAGATACTTCAACTTGGACGTGAAACTCGCGTCCTGTGCCGCGTAGATGATACCCTCGACGTCCGGTTTAATCGGCCTCATTAGACCCGTATCTTGCTCGGATGGCCTCCATGGCGGCAATGCGGGCTTCTTAACCTTAAGTGTAGATCGCATTTTTTTTTTTTTAATCCACATGAATTTCTATTAACCTTTCACCGTTTTCGATCCTCTCACTTGTTGACTTCGTGGCGCGGCCACTGTCGCGACTTCTTTTTTCCTTTTCTGTTCGAGGCTCTTGAGTTTTTCCGCAAAACGCGGCTCTCCCAAATTCTCGTAGAGGCGTTTTCGGTTCTTGATGAACCATTGGTTTCTCAGCTGTTCCTCTTTTTTCGCCATTTCTCGCTGAAACTGCTGGCAACGGGCATCGCAAACAATGTTACGGGATTTTGACATTTTTCCAACGGGATCAGCACTTTGATACTTATCCCTTTTCACTTTAAATTTGCATCAGAGAGAGACACTTTTTAATTTTTTATGAGGCGCGCCTCGCCAGAGCGGATCACAAACATCGACACTAGCGCCACCGACTGGCCCAACATGGTCTGGGTCTGGGAGGAGGGGGGGATCATCCATCAGATGGCTCTATCACGACTTTCGATATCTCGAATTCTAATACTGCGCATGCGCACAACCATAATTTTGTGTAAATTATCGAAAAAATACTGACTTTTGCGAGATATCGATATCTCGGTTTTCGATATCTCGCAAAAGTCTGTATTTTTTCGATAATCCCTATAAAATAACCAAAAATAACGATAAATGCGCGCATGCGTAGTTTAGGAATTATCGAAAAAACTGCTTACTTATTGAGCGAGATATCGAATGCCCCGGCAAACTCTCAGATGATTCGGAATTCAGAATTGAGATTCCAGCAGTGATTCTAGTCCAGCGTAATTAGCCACGGTCCAATGCTACCGTAACAATTACCTACTCCTACTGTACTTATTTGCGGAAATCACGTTGGTAAAAAAAATATCTTTTGTAAATCAGATATATCAGCGATCAACAGTCAATTACAGGCTGCAGTCTAAAGCAAAGCAAGCAATGGGCGATTTAATGAATCATTTTCTGTATCATTCATCGAATTCAATACCTTCTCAATTATTAGTAGCTAATGCCACCAGTAAGAACACAGCGAAATCTGTTGAAGCTCGTTTGAAGGGTAACAAGCTCTATGCCCAAAAATTTCACGACATAGAGACGCACTCGGAGATACTGTCCTATTACACGCAAAGTGTGGCCTGGGCAAAAAATGGCTCCGAAGAATTGGCCATGGCATATGGCAACAGGTCTGCCCTGCTTAAACACCTATGCAAGTACGAGGAATGTCTTGTTGACATAGAAAAGGCCTGTCAGATCACAAAGTCTGGAAGTCTGAAGGTCAAACTTGCAGCTCGTAAAACTGAGTGCCTGATGGCCTTGGAAAAGAAGTCTCGTTCTTTTCAGGATGAAGCTCGAGCTACTGTGACAATAAACTTCAAAGCTTCCAAAGAAATTCCATGCGCATCTGAATCAATCGCTATCAAATTTGACGATAAGTATGGAAGGCATATTGTTGCGACTCAAGACATTGAGCCTGGTACGATTATTGCAGTAGAAAAAGCTTTCGCCTCAGTTCCAGTGGAATTCTGCATGTACCTAAATTGTACCCATTGCATGAGTATCGCTTGGAATACAATTCCATGCGATTCATGTGCATATGTGGTTTTTTGTTCAGAAAAGTGCAAAGAGGAAGCTTTGATGCATTATCACAATGTTGAGTGCCTAGTACTTTGTTTCATTAATAATTCAATAAGTTTTTCTTATAACGGTATTTCCCACGTTTTACTATCCATTAGGGTATTCATTGTATCTATTAGAAAAAATGGCTTGAGCAGAATGATCAAAGACGTTGCAGATCTTGAGAGTAATAAGGGTAATGAGTGATACGGATTTATATATCTTATACTTGTTTTTTATTCTCTATGCCCACGTTGTGCAGAGTACTCTATCAATTAAATTATTCAAATTTTTTGTCTAGGTTCAAATGTGGATGGATTTTTTGATGATAACAAGGTTTTTCAGAGTGACAAATTCAAATCTATATGTAACTTATGTGGCGACACCAATCATTCTGAATTTATAAAAACTTTGTTGAATGGTGTTGTAGACTTTTTACATGCAAACACAAATATTTTCATAGAAAATTCTTGTGATAATTCAACAATCAATGAAAACATTTCATTGGCCAAAGAGATACTCATAAGATTATACTTTATTACCAGAAAAAATTCTTACTCAGTTAAGTATTTTAATTTTTTTTCAATATATTGTTTTTAAAATCTCAAATTTAATCATATTGATATTTTTAAGTTAATAAATTATAATAAAGTCACAATTATGGTAAAATTTCAAAATGAACAATAAGTAATAAAAATTACATTAAATGAAAGCAATTGTCAACTTTTATACTTTATAGTTCGATTATTCATGGTGCGACTATTCATCATGGCAAACAGAGAAAATCGACAAAATGTCTAGTATAGGAGTTATGATCGCTCCATTTTGTTGCTTATTCAATCACAGCTGCTGTAACAATGTCGGAAGAGTTTTTACTCGTAATCAAGAAATTATACTGTTTACTACATTAATGATTAAAAATAAACAACAGGTAACCTGTGACATTGATTTTATGAATCGAAAAGAAATTTGGAAGTATTTGTTTAACAAATCAAAATTCTCATTAAAAACTTTATAATAAATATTTAAAAATTTTGAAATTCTAAACCACCATAAACAAGTTGTGCAATTAATTTCATTAATTAAGCTCTTTTTGCAGTTATATGTAAATTATGGTCCTGATATCTTCACAGAAAAATCAAGCAGAATAAACATGTTGAAAAAGTTTTATGATTTTAATTGTGAATGTCAAGTTTGTGAAGAAAACTGGCAGATGAACTCAAATCTAAATGAAGTGAATTTTTATTTTAATAAGCATTATATCGATATTATAGTTCACAAGTTATATGATTTTCGAAAAATACTCAAATCAATTGTTTTGTTTTAGAGTCCTGATGATAAATTTACAAAAACCTTATCAAATAAATTTCGGGAAGCAGGTATACCAATATCAATAATAAACTATTTGTCTGGACGTGAAGAAAAAATAGATTTTTCAGAAGAAACAGCAAAAGATTTTATAAAAATTCTAATGATACTTGATAAGCATTGTACTGGTTTTGAAGGTTTTTTGCATTCTATGATGCTCCAAGATTATTTAGATTTTTATTATGGAAACTTGTATGGAATTAAGAATAATGTACCTCATGCTTGTTAAACTCACTTTTCGTGGTTTTTGATTGTTTGGCGATTTCTGATATAACGTAACAAGCTATTATTGTTGTTTAAATGTATTAAAAAAAAAAAAAAAATTGAATTTGAGCTTAGTCTTTAGTGTCAGATATATTATATATTTTTATACGTTTTTCTCTAGTGATTAAAAAGGTTTTAGAATTGGATAAAAATCGGCTGCTAAAAATATTTCAATATTTTAAAAGCTCCAGCCTACAATAATACAAGTTAAATAATTTTATACCTTATATATGCGCTTTAAGTCATTATGTGAACGTTTCTTGAATAAACTGTTTAATACTAAGCAATCAACTATTAATACAACCTAAAGATTTTATTTTTAAATAAGTATTGTTTATTAAGAAAAAATTACAAATAATATAACTCAATAATACAGTGTACACTTTGTTTAATTAAAATTATTTAATAAATTTTTTGGATTCGTAAGGGACAAAAAAGGCTTCAGGAGTAAAAAATACTCAATTTATACCACACTTGTATAATTTATCAAAATCAAAATTTTACATGTCAAGTTGACTGGGAAGAGCCGGAGATGCGACACAAATTTTTTTATTGGTTTAAAAATCACCCTAAAAAAAGAAAAACTCTCTTACTTGGGAAGAAGAGCGGATAATGGTAAAGTACTCGTCTTAATTCATACAACTATAACATTATAAGAATAAAAGAAGATATGTACATCGGTATGTATAAAGACAAAAATTATACAGCACCTTGACAAAATACATATTAATATTTACACTTTTTAAACTTGAACTCAGTAACAGATTCACTATATTGTTGTTGGTAATTTTATTTTAAAACATCGTACAACATTTCAATAATAGTTTCCATGTCTTCGCCACTGTTGTTAATATTTAAATCCCAATCGCTCACAGCATCAAGATCGCATTCTGTCTCTGAGTCGTCGATACCTTAGAAAAAAATTCCAAAAAACATTTTTAAATGTTTATTTTTTTCTTAAAATTATTTGTTATTTGATAAAATTACCTTTTGTAAACACCCAACCACGGCTTTTCCTTATTTCATCATCACATGCAATTCTGATTGTTTTGCATTTGTCTCCATAATTTGCATTGAACCACTTCAAATCTGTTTGTCTCCTGGCATCACTTACAATCCAAACATCTTTATCATTTGCTGCCAAAAGATAAGAATCACAATACAAAAATTTAATTAAGTAAAAATAATTATAAAAATTATTTGACGTATATAATTATAAATTTCATTTAAGTAATGATTTAGTTTATAAAACTAATCTATGAAATAAATGAAAATTTAATTACAAATACTAAAAACTAATTATGGTAGATACAATTACCATTGTACATTAAAATCGCAGCTTTGCAAAAGTATCCATGATCCTCTTTTCTCATGCTTTCGCCCCATTTTGTCATTTCTAATCTATAGTATTCTTTGTATTTTCCATCACTGAATAATTGCTCTGCATCAAGATTTTTTTCTTTTGCCCAATGACACTTTATTGGTCCGGATAATTTTATAATTACACTTTTATTGCTACCTAATCTGTTGAAACACAATTTAAAAATGTTACTTTCATTAAATAAAAGTAATGAAACCATTAAATAATGTGAAATTAAAATTTGAATACCTTACTAGCAATATGTTTAATTTAAAACTCAAATGTACAATACTGAATGAAAAAATCACTTTTAAAAAAAGTAAAGTAAATCTGTGTTTAGTTAACAAAATAAAATAATATTATTAAATTTTTTTAAATAACTAAAATGTTATTATTCAATTATACCAAGCATTATCTAGCACTAGAAAATGTCACTGTTTTTTCTGGATGTACTCAAAATTTAATCTGTGTAAAAATTGTCAAGAATGTACTGTCACTTTCAAAATTAACGGTATTCAGGAAAGTAAGGCACATATTAACATAGTAATACATAAAAACTATCCAACAAAATACCTCTTAAATAATTCGTCAGTAATGAAATCCTTTCCTGATTTTCTTTTCCCACTAAAAATTAAGATTCGCTTGGGTTTTGCAAAATTTTTCGTGACAGCTTGCTCGTCTGCAGTACCAGAATCCGCCATATTAGCTCGTACTAATATAAAAAATGATGGTATACCTATATACAGGCAAAAGTGGCCAGACCAAAGGTACACGTGTGTGACATGTGTAAGTATTTACTTGAATGTTTTTTTTTTTTCACTGAATACTTAAGTGTTTCACATTTATAAGTATTTCGTCAAAATGTACACATGAGTCACAATATAAATAAAATTTCGAATGTAAGTGCACTTTAAAATTCAAATTCTCATCAAATATTTAAAAAGATGATTTTAAATGTATATAATCTACATTTACACTTTCAAAAAGTTTCTCCAAAGGATTTTCAAACATCAACACAAATAAGTTAGTTAATTTTTGTTTTTATTATAATAAAAATGAGGCATTACAAGATATCTATTTCTTAGCTTTAGCTTCTGTCCTCGCTTTCCTGAAAGCTGCCCTTTTCTTTTGCATGGCGGGCTTAAGATTGTGTTTTTTGGCAAATTTCTGGTTTCGTAGGAATTTTAAATCCATCTGTGACAAAAAAATGAAAAAAATGATGTTTAGATAATGTACACAAAGTTTAGTATCAATTAATTAAATAATAAAACTAAGAATTTAATGTTGTATCAAGAAATGAATAGAGTTTAATGGGAAGTGATTACTATGGAACGAAAAATAAGTGTTGCAATTTTTATCGTATCTTACCATGAATCGAAATTCAACTTTGACAGCAAAACAAAGTTAAATATTACAAGAAGTTACAGATTATACGGGTACACTAAGCTTATCAATGTACTATGTACTACTAAATATCATTTTTGGCAGTTATTTAGTTTGAAGCATTTCTATATATTATTACTGTAGTTGTAAGAGAAATTACTTACTCCAAGAGTGGATTCATGCCTGTAGCGTTTAGGCTTCTGGATTCCATTACGATGTGCTTTTCGGCCTGAAAAACAAAAGAAAGTTTTAATTGGGAGAACATAAATACATTAAGTTTATATCTTTTAAAAGCCGTATCGTACAAGACTTTAAAATAATAGATACATGCAAGTGTTGAGCCAACGTAGGTAGACAAATAATACTTACTCTGATTGTGATTAGTGTGATTCTTTGACTTGGCCATTTTTCTGTCTTTTGTGTTTTAACTGAAAAAACAAAGAAAAAAAAAACGTATGATAATTATTTTGATGCGTAAAGGACGGCAACAATGAGGTTAGACTTTCTTTCAACAAAAACAACACCAAACACTGAAAATAACAGTACAGCGCAAGAAACGTTTTTAAAGAGGATTAAGTTTTTGAAATCGAAGTGTCACCAAAATTGCTATTTCAACACAAATTTGAATAAATTGTAAGGATTACTTTGGATTATAAAAATTCGACTTTACCAGCTATTTAACACACAAAACACGAAGAAAATGAGATACACTGCTCTTTCTAGAGCTGTACAAGATAAAACTAGAAATTTATAACTAGATATATTGTAAAGTTACTAAAAATACACTAGCTCAGCCGACATTCTGCTGCCTACATTATCCACATAAGACAAACTTTCATCAGATTTTACGAATTAAATATATTAGCGGCGTTAGGTAAAAGATAAATTGTAAACTTGCCGCAAGTAGCACAAAAAATGTTTACTTTTTATTATCCATCTACAAAATTTGTTGCGGCTGGTTTATAGCTAATAAGGTGACTTTACTGTAAATAGCAATAATTATTTGGATCAGCGCCATCTAGCGGTCTTTATTTTTTGGCCAAAAGTGGCTCCTAAAATTCTAAATCAGAGCATTCAGGATTAGAGCTATTTAATCAATTATAAACCAGCTGCAACTCATGACGAAGCTATAAAATAAAAAAATAACGATACGTGTGTTTTTGGCGGCAAGTTAACAATATATCTTATGCTCGAAAATATATCTTCAAAAGTATAAACACATACGAGATCGATTTTTTGATAGAAAATAGATTGTTAACTTGCCGCCAAAAACACATGTATTGTTATTTTTTTATTTTGTAGCTACAAGATGAGTTGCGGCTGGTTTATAACTGACTAAATGGCTCTACGCGCTAAAGCTCTGGTTCAAAAGTTTAGGGCCTTTTTTTAGTTCAGAAATTCGCAACACTAGATAGCGCTGATCCAAATAATTATCACTTCTTATATTAAAGCCATTTAATCAATTATAAACCAGCCGCAACTAATTTTATCAATAGATAATAAAAAGTTAACGTAGTTGTTTGTGCTGTTTGCGGCAAGTTTACAATTTATTTTTGACCCAAAAGTCGACCTACAAAAATATAGAAATTCATATGGTTTAATGAAATCGACCATATGGCATTACTTAGTAGCAATTACTTTAATTACTACACACAACTTCACGTACATCTTACCCCGTGCTCTCTTTACCAGAATGATAAAATCATAGGCTGCAGTAAAGTTACGTAGGTCGTGGTGGTAACGCCGCTTGGGGTGTTTTCCGCAATCGTCGTCACCAGCAAGTAATTTAAATTTGCGCTCTACGTTACCGTCAGGTCAGTAAGTCAAACCTTGAATTAAACTGGCGCTCCTGTTCCGTAATCTGCAGGCCAGTAAAAACAGCAGACGACAATCAACAGCGATGAAATCTTCATTTTTTTCTCGACTTTCGCTGTTTTTACTTGGCCTGATTACGCGGAATACAGCGCCAGTTAAATTCAAGGTAGTTGACTTACCGATCTGACGGTAACGTAGAGCGCAACCTTAAATTACTTGCTGGTGACGACTGACGATTGCGGAAAACACCCATTATACATCTAGATATAACAATAAATTTTAACTTTCAACTCGCAAAATCATTTTGTTTTTTTGAGTGCTTTTTCATGCTATTAGCTATTTACAGGATTTACAAGAATCACAAGATCATACATGGATGTACCATCCGTGTCCATTGTATTAACGACGGTAGCTAAAAAAAAGGGAAAGCAAAAAAAATTTTAAGCGCAGGATATATATATATATATATATGTACGGACCTATATGTATAGAACTCGAGAGCAAAACTATGGTTTATAAGTACTTTTGGTGTTTATTTTCAACGTCAGGTCCTTTAATCCGCGTTGTTTGTGGGTGTTCTCAGAGAGAAGAAAAGGAAAGCGTGTGTGGTGTCATGTAGTAAAAAACAGTTGTAAACAGAAATTTTCAAAAACTTGTGCATAGAATACACACCCTCTCTTGAGTCTCAAAGCTGTCGTTGTTGTGATACATTTTATTTTTTAAGTTTCGGGTGGACGACGTGCAAGTGCATTATGGTGAGGACGTAAAACATTTTTTGAGAGCTGCTAGATACTGAGAAGAGGAAAAGACGCAAGTTCCAAGGGGGTGGAAAAATGGAGCTGCAGGGCTTGGGTAATCCGATGGCCGGGGGTACGAGGCTCATCGACCACATCGTCGGGGAGGTCAAGTCCCAAGGTATATTTGACAAGTTCAGGAAGGAGTGCATCGCCGATGTCGACACCAAGGTGAGATACCATGGGTCCTGTGGTTTTTGTTTACTTTTGCTTCTCGTGAAACTTTTTTTCAGAAGTCAGTTGTGTGATTGTTTATTTTTTCCTCTTCTGTTTTTCAGTGTATACTTATTGTTATTTTTTTTTTTTATTGATAATCGTGCATGCATTGATTGGTTTTTTCAAGTGAAAATAAAAAAAAAATAAAAAAAAAAAATAAAAAAACAGGTGAAGAGGCAAGAGACCAATTTAACATTGTAGACATTTTTTTTGATCGTTTGAGCGATGATAAAACAGTTTTAAGTATAAGCATTAACGAAAGACGGGTGCCTGGACTGTAAATTAGCTAGAAGTAATTACTTACAAATTAACGCCTCAGGCATCCGCCTTTTGGAATACGTCAATTGTTGATCAAAAAAGTTGAAGAGTAAAATCGGAGCATCAGCTGTTGCAGCCATTACACTTCGACTTTCATTTGTTGGGGTGCTTTTTGGATTTTTTTTTTTTTTTTTTTTTCCATAAGTGTGCTTTTCTGATTGACTGTACCTGTTATATAAAAACGTGATGACACTGATTTTGATATGATTACGATTTTTTGATTTGTTGGAAACACATTTGGGAGAAACGATTTTTTAATATATTTTTTGTAAGTATTAACATTGAGTGTGATTGGCAGGTGATATAAACACTAGTCAATCAAGCAACCTTATTTTTATTTTTTTCTGGTCAGTTGTCAAGTTCTTTTCGAAAACTTTTCAGATGTTCTGTATTTAGTTACGTATATTAGAAAAAAATTTTGTATCATGGATAATTATTTATGAATTTTTCATCGAAACCATCATGTAATAACCATATATTTCTTTTAGCCTGCATACCAAAATTTAAGGACAAGAGTGGAAGGTTCCGTCAATTCATTTTTGAACAAACAAACTTGGAGAACCGACTTGAATAAAACTCAGTTGCGTGAGACCTTGCGCAAGCACATACACGAGGCACCATATCTTGAAGTTGGTGTAGAGAGAATAGTAGATCAGGTGGTCAACCCAAAGGTTTACTCAAACTTTATGCCTAAAGTTGAGGATGTGGTCTACAAGTTTTTAGGTATCGAGATGCCAAAGGCCCAGAGAAATGGAACGTGTGAATTAAAGGACTTGTTACCGAAAGATTTGGATCCCGTTTCACCCGAGTCTGACAGAAATAGTTTGAAAGACGCGTCTTTAGGGTCCATGGACATGGATGACGAGACAAACGATGCAGTCAACAGTGGCGAGCAACAGCACAGTAGCATCAACGTTGAAGAAAAAGAAGAAAAAGCTCACGTCACAGAAGCTCCAATAAATAAAGAAGAGCTTGTTGAAAAAGAGGAGCTTCAACAACTTAAGCAGGAGGATGACATTAAAAAGGATGAAAGTGATGTTGAAAAAATTACAGAAGAGGTCAGTCAACAAGTTGAAGTTAGTTCACCGGTGAAGGCTGATCTTAATTGTTCCTTCAAGTCCGATGAGACAAACAAAACAGATGAAGAAGAAGAAGACAGTCCGGCTTTTGAGCCTATTGACCTTATGAACATGATAGAGTCGAACATGTCGAACGACTCGCACATGTCTGGCATTTCCGAACTGACAAGCCACAGATCCCGCAGTCCAGACTTTATGACGGAATTCTCACGTGACAACTTTGACTTCAGTAATCAGGATTCTCAACTGAGTAAGGTATCATCTGGTTCTCGCTTGTCGATCGTCACTGATTTTGGTTCCTCAAATCACGCCTCGACTCCAGCACCGGACTCTAAAGATGACTCCAAAGGTGCCAAAGATGATTTTAAGAGCATTAGAGATATGGACTCTAGCAAAGACAAGTTCAATTTTGATGCCATTAAAAGTAAGGATAAAGAAAACAGCAAGATAAGTAACTCGTCCAAAGAAAGTTCTCGCGATGCCTCTGATTACAGAGAGAGAGGCAGGGAGCAATCAAGATCAAAATCATCAAGGGATAGACATGATTCGAAAAACAGCAGGGAGAGAGATCGCGATTCAAAGAGATATCCCAGCAGTAAATTTGACAAGCAATCGCAGAGTAGAAGCAAAGACAAACACGAGTCTTTGGATTCGAGCAAGAATCGAGATGGCAAGTCCAAGGTGACAGAAAAAAAAGATGATACGCTCAATGAAGCCAGAGACTTGAAAGACCTTTACAAGGAGAAAATACGAGAATTGTGGGAGAAAAAGGAGCTTACCGAGAAGGAGAAACTTGGCAAAGATCACAAGGATGCCGTCAAGATTATTAATAACAAGGACAAAAACACCAAGGACAAGAAGGAGTGTTCGACCTCGTCCCGAGAAAAAGAAGACAATCGTAGGAGCCACAAGTCCTCGTCATCCTCGTCGTCCCGGAGCTCAAGCTACCACAAGAGCTCCAAGGACTCTCGTGACCGTAGCAGCAGCAACAGCAGCAGTAACAAGCGAGATGATCGCCGAAACTCTAATGGCAAGTCATCTTACTTGAACTCTCGCAGCGGCAAACGAGACTCAAAGTCTGATAATCACAACCACGACAGCAGTAAGAAGCGCCGCACCGATAAAAAGTCGCTGGACGACCACTCGAGCCTTCGCAAGAACTTCAATGACCGAAGGTCGAGCGACAGGGATGGTTCTAACGGCTCGAGCAGCAAGTACTCGCACAAGACAAACAGTAACTCCTCCAACAACCGGCTCGGACCCTCGACGAGTTTTCCCATTGACAACAACAAGTATCACTCTAGTGGTGAAACGTCGGATAACGTCCACGATTCCCTGCACATGATGTCTTTTGGCTTAGACAATCAGCCAAGGCGCGTGGATCTTGGTAACGCCGAAATCTGTCTCCCACTGAAGAAGAGACCACTGCAGAGCGACGAGTCGTCCTCGAGTGAGAGTCCAGAGAAGAAACCCAGGGTAGAAGAGAAAAAGGCCTTGACGAGGAAAAAAGTAGAGGACGTATTCAAGACCGACGAGGATGTGACTAGTGTTCCGGATGAAGAACGCGTTCAGATCATCGAAATCACGGAAGAGGATTACGAGCAGCCCTACTCGGACAAAGAGGAACCCATTCTGTCGTTGGAGGAAACGAAGAATATTATTTTCAACGCTGAACCTATTGTCAATCCTATTGAAACTCCTGCACCGTCGAAACTATCAGAAATGGAGCAGTCCATCCGAGATTCGTTGAGCGAGATGATGTCGAATCATGGATTTGCGGAGCCCGAGAGTGCTCTCAACTGCCGTAAGCTGATTCCTGTGATCGACTCGACGAGCAGCTTGATAGAAACTCTTACTGATGAGTCTTTGGAAGCTTCGTTAGTGGATTCTACAGGCAACATTATTATCCCACAAGATATCAGTGCAAGTACTGATTTCAAAGATAAAGAGCTGGAAGATATAGAAACAGTTCAGAAATATTTGAATGAGAACAACCCTTCAATAGCGAGGGACGAAGCAAAGCAACTAGAAGCCATGGAAGAGTCTGGCTTGTCGGAATTAGACCAAGTGAACGAGTACTTGAGAAGAAGTATGGAAGTACCAATCGAAAGTGTTGGCAGAGAAGAAATAAAAGACTTGTGCGAGGATCGCGAAGTACTCGGTGAAAGTGTAAAAGAAAGCAAGGAAGATGAAAGGGAAGTAGATGTGAGAACTGCAGAGGAAAACATGGATATAAATGTTGGAACAAACAGCTATGAAGTAGCAGAAAATAGTAATGAAGACGAGAACCGAGTAGATGCAAATACCAAAGTTGAAAAAATGTTTGAGAAGGTTGTTATGGAAGACAGTGGCATGGTAGAAGAATACATAGACAAAATAGAAAAACAGCAGATAGATGTTAATACTGAAGATATAAAGGTGGATAGAGATCATGAAGTAGACAGTGAAAGATTAGAAGAAAACAGCAAGGCAGATGAGGATATTGAAGTTGAAAAGATGGATGATGCTACTGCTGATTTGGATAAAATTACTAATGTTGACGAATGTGATAAAGAATCTGGCAAAGAGGCCAACATAGACACACAGATAGCAGATGTAGGGGAGTCTCTGGATAAAACGAGCCAAAATGTTATTTCTGATATGTCTGAGACAAAAGAAAATCTCGAGGCTGATGAAACTGACATGAAATCAGAGGTACAAAATGCGCCGGAAAAGTCAAAGCAGAACACAGATAAACATGAAATGAGCCAACATGTTATTTCTGACGTGCTCGAGAAAGATGATTGTCTTGAGGCTGATATTGTAGACATGAAATCAGAGATAAAAAATACACTGCAAGAGTCAGAACAGAGCACAGACAAAGACGTAGAAATAAAAGAATCTTCAGGACCTGAAGATCAAACCCAGATGAGGCTGGTTGAGGTTGACCCAAATATCCCAGAATCGGAGGAAAATGATATTGTAAATGACGAGAGCATAGACAACAGCACAAGTGATGAGTGTAATGAGGATAAACTGATGATTGATGAAGAGTTTGATGAAAAAGATCACGAAAGTATTGATATAGGGATCGATTTGAAAGTAAAAACTGTTGATGATCAAGAAAATGACAGCGATGATGCGCATTTTGAACCAAGTGGTGTACAAGACGATAGTGACCCTTCGATTGACACAAACAGCAAAAACGTAACAGAATTCAATAAGGATGAGAAAAATAATAATTCATCTGAGGAAAATAGAGCAAAATCAGTAGAAAACCTTGAAGAAAATATAAGCAATATAGTAGCAGATGATGAAAAACTAGTTGAAACAAATCAAAGTCATACGGCTACTGAAGCAATAACAAAATCTTATGATGAAGAAGAAATTGATCTGAGTAAAAATGCCATTGAAAATCAAATTGAAGATGCTACAATTTCAAAAGTTGGGCTTGATGAAGTAGCCCCAAAGTTAGTTGAAGATGATCCGATTTGTGCGACATCTGTAAAGGATAAAAACACCAAAGTAACAGAAAATATCTATGTACCAGAAGTACTACCAGAGAAAATTGACATAAAAATTGAAATAAAACAAGAAGTTGACACAGAAGACGATGATAACGAGATGCAAGAAAATAAATTAACAATCGTCTGTGATGAGAGCCAAAATGATAAAAACAAATCCATGTCTGTGTGCGAAAATTTGATTGATTCGAAAGAGGCTGAAACCTTTGTAAAAATAGAATTCACTCCTAAGCCAGAAACAGATACCTTGCATTCAGATGCAGTCTCGCTTGGTGTCATTAGCACGCCATTGATACCAAATAGACAGGTAGAATCTCCCGTCGAAGAGGAATGTCGGTACTTTGAAAACAATAACCATGACAAATATCTACGATTCAAGGAATTTTTGGACAAACTCGAGGCCAATCCCAGTAAAAGCTCCAAAAGCACTGTCAAGGGAAAAAGAAAAAAAGCCGTGCCTCCGTCTGTCCCAGCTGCCCCAGCTACGCAGTCTACTCTCAAACGCAAACTCACACCCAGCCCACTTTCTGATAATCTCATTGCTAACTCAAGTTACAGTGTTGAGAGTTTAGGTGCAAACGCTGGTCCTAAAAAGTCAGGTGAAGACACTGTTGTGGTGATTAAGAAACGTAAACCTGGAAGAGCTAAGAAGGTCAACAGTAATGCTGCCCAAGTAGTTGTAGTGCAGCAACATCAACAAGTCGAATCCACAGGGGATCAAAAACCCCAGCTTTTGGAGGTACTTCCAACTCCTGGTGCTGTAGTCAATGGAGAGAACATTATGAATATTGATAATGATGGAGATAAAAATGTCACTGTAAAGGATGACAAAGAGTAAATATATATATATATATATATTCACCTAATTGAAAAATTCACTTTAATAATAATTTAATGCAACAAACTGTTATTAATAATTTAATGATATTTCATTGCAGAAAAAACAGGAGTAGGCAGCGATATTCAAGTGACGATCTGTACAAACCACGACCACTATTTCCGAGTTCGTCACGACGTAACAGGCGTTTTAATAATAATCAGACGTAGCCGTCACTTCCGGGTCAGTCACACGTTGGCCGGCCACCTTTTTACCTCAAAGAGGCATTTGTTATCCTCCAAGATGTTATTCTCAGTGCCGAAGCCACGGACAATTGATCGGAAGCTTTCTAGCTATAAATTTGATTTTTTCAAAGAAAAGCTTAGTTCAATTTTTGTTTCTTCTCTTTTCTTAATGATAAAAAAAAAACCAAAAAAAAAAAATAAAAAAAAAAATGTTAAAGATTTACTGTTTTCAATTTAAAAGTGTGGTTGATCATTCAAGAGATTCGTATGCAAGTTATATTTTTGCAAAAGTGAGATAGCTTTAAGGATTTTTTGTACATTCTTGTAAACCATAATTCAAAAAAGAAAATAATTTTATAATAAACACATTTTAATCAATCTCAAGTATTTTATCTCTACAATTTAAGTATAAAACTTCAATCTCATAATTGTTTACAGCTTGAAAACCGATAACCATTCGCGTGGTAGGTAATTCAAGATAAAATACTTTGGAACAATATTTTCAAGTTTTTGATAATTTTTCAACCGAGAAAACTTGAAAAGAACTCTGTGAAAATACATTTAAAAATAGTACAAAAGTATCGGAAGTTAAGCAGTTAAAAGTTAAAAAAGAATTCTGAAAAAATTACTATAGACATTCTTGCAGGACTTTTTTAATACATCTACTTCACGCACAAAGTTTTTAAATCGTAAAATAATCATCCCTTGATGCTAAAATAGCGTTTCTAAAACCATGAACGCTTTACTTTTTTCTTTGTTAATTTTATTTCACTTGATTAGCTGAAGTTACTATTATTTGTTGATATATTATTTTACCCGCTATTTACTACTTGCCTTTTTTAATTATTTTTCGAATAACTAACAGGTTGATTTATTCATCCACCTCGGAGCGCTCGGAGTCCTGCAGGAGCTGTTTGTGGGATATATAAAAAAAAAAAAAAAAAAAAAATATATAGGTATAGTTATAGTTCCGTATAGAAGCGCAATGTTTTTAAACAAACAGTTTTGCGGTGACTATACCTATATAGTCCACATACAACTCGGAGGCCTCCAATTGCTTCGAGGTGGATAAATGAACAAATCTACGGTTTTCTCCAGTCAAGTAAATATCAAGACTTCACAAGGCTTTTTTCTTTTGACTTGTTTATTTTCGAGACCATTTGACAAACCAAATAAGTATATGTATTCCAAATTGAGAAACGTGTATTTTTCAAAGAGCGAAATAATTTTTTTTTAACAAAATGTAATACTTGTAACCAAAATCAAAAATTAAATTTAACAGATGAAAAGAAAATTATTTTTAAACCGTTTATAAAAAGAATCTTACAAATGACTTATTTTGTTTATAAGATAATGTGATACAGGAAGAGAAAATACCATAAATCAAGTATATAACATTTGTATTGTGTGGATCCATGACGAAAATAAAAAAATCTACATGAATATTGCTTGGCAAAATTAAATACTTATTGTGTTCCTAATTAAAAGATTAGAATAAATTATAACATACATTGTATGAATAAATTATATAGTACGAAATAAGTTATGTGTCTCAAGTAATTTGATTATTCCAACTGAAATGTTTTTTATTTGCATAAAAAAATTACTTTTTTAAGAGCAATTAAGTATTTAAACCTACGAAAATGCCATAATATCATACATCACGTTTTATTATCAAAAAGCGTTTCTTTTTTTTAGCTATTTATTGCGCAAGATATGGTTCTAGTAGCTAACATTTTTTGTGCTAGATATAGTAAATAGCTTACTAGATTAAATTTTAATTACAACTCGACAAGGTTGACGTGTTTTTGTATATTGATATATTACAAATATAGTGTCAATATCAGCGTACCATCATCTATGATTAGTCTATGGAGTATTTTACGTACTTACAATGTAAAGATTTGGATAGTATATACTTACATGTCATGTCATTTTCAGTGTGCTGTATAAGAAAACAATCTGTGAAGAAATTTTAATTGGGCAGTGCCTAAACAATACCTACACATATATTAATTATAACTTCAACTATGCATTGTCGGAAATGTGTTGTTAAAATTTTCAAGTGATTAAACATTATTAACATGGCTAATTATAATGAGCCAGTTTTTCTCTTTCAGATTCGACAGTGTAATGATACAATATTTTATTTAATAAAATTTGTATGAAAGAAAAAAATATAAAAACATTTTGAACAATAGCTTGTACAGACCATGTATTTTAAGTGAAATTACAAATGAAATCTTAATCTTAACAATACCACAAGGAGCGTTAGGGAGGTATTGTAATTAAAGTCGATTAAAAACTATGTAAAATATTTTTAATAGTTATATGAAACCACTTTATTTTAATAACACGTATAATAACAATTAAGAAGCACAGATCAATGCGTAAATCCAGTGTTGTTGATTCACAAATCTATTGATTTATTGGTCGCTCCAAAAATTTATCCTTACAGAGTCGGTTTTCGAAATGGACGGAACATTTATGCACACAGAAACGGTAATTCAAGTGCCATAAAAATAGAAGATAATTATGTATGGCAATAAAAATAATAATTTGTTTATCTTTGTTTAGTGTCGATTTCTAAAACATACTATATTACTACTGTGTTCAGGTCAAACAAACACGTCGTTAATTTATATAACTGTTTGTATCAAAACCACACTAGTTATGTTGTTATTTAATACCAACGACCTAATCTCATGATTACTGAAAGATAAATCATTAATGTTTGCTGAGAAAATCATCTTGTTTCAAAGTTGCAGTTAATAAATATACTCAACATTTTTCTGCAATTGCTCGCGAAACGTTGTCATCATTGCTTAATTTTTCATACGTTTTATCACGCGCAATTTCCCTCGCAGATAAGAAGTTCTAATGAAGTAACTTACAACCACAAGCCGAGCCTTTATTTATTCACGCGCCGAGAAACCCACGTAACATTGGTAAGCAAAACCAGAAATAATATTATTTAATCTCGTGGAATAATTTTTTTATGATATTTTACTTATTAATACGATAATTTTTCCTCGAATTTTTCTAATGATTTCTTACATGCTCCCAAATATTTATTCGTGTTGAAAAAATGATCTGTTGATTTACCTTTTTTTTTACGTAAATTTTTAAAACGAATTACCATGCGCGTACATACATGGCACGATTGATGCGTTTAGGAACAAAAGTATTTACATTATAAACGCAAATAGTACGCAAAAATCCTAATTAAAAATAAAAATTAAATTTTGTGTTTGATAATTTGTTGAACGTGTAAACTAAATTGTTACTTTCAAACATTTTTACGGTATTATGTGAAAGAAAACGATAGATATAAAAAAGTTGTAATTTTACCTGATCTATGTAAGCTGTACCTATATATGTTACACATGAAATTTGAAAAACTTAGAAAACCTAGAAATGTCAGAAAATTATTTTTATTTTGGAAAAACCTGGAATATCAAACAATTTTTACGGGTTCTTAAAATTTTTAAATAATATTCATTAAATTTGAAAAAAAAAGTTGTATTAAATTTTTTTGATTATTTACTAGCAAGATAGAATTCGTGTTATTTGAATTTCAGACGAATACTCTACTTTCAAAAATTATCAAAAAACGAAACGTGTAGAAAAGTACTTTTGAGTTTTTGAAAAATATATAAATCACCAGTTATTTTCAGTGCAGTAGCAAGATATACACATGTGTATACAGAACACAATATGAGTTTGTTTAATTCAGTCAAATGATGAACCTTTAAAAAATTTAAAATTTACAAGAAATTAATATCAAGCGACAAAATTTTATCCACTGAATACTTATTTGATCGTATTTAATAAATAGTATTATCACGAGAAATTTTTTTGTAAACTGACACTGAAACGTAAACTTCACTCTTTGTTTTCCATAATTACTAGTAACAATCGCTTTTGTTCCTATGATTCATTAAACAAATGAAACAATTGGAGCATTTCATCGCGAGGTTTCAATCGATTGTTTTTAATATTTTATTCGAAGGAAAACTGCGCTATGTTCTACGTTCTAAAAAGTAAGTAAATGTAGAGCAAATGATTCGACATCGACACAATATTAATTGTATAAACATTTTGAAAGTGTACCTAAATAACGAATGTATGTAAAATTAATAAAAATATATTTGAAGCGCTCATGCTGTTATAACTAACAATAGCTAATTATGAAAAAAAAATTAAAATATTCTTTGATATTGCAGTAAATATTTTAATGAATTATAATTTACAGTGACTATTATATTTCAAGTAAACAACATGCAGTAGCTCATAAATAATAGCTTACAAAATTAACCAAAAAGAGTTTGCAAATGTTCTGTATTTTTATTTTCTTCAGCTTCTCAAGAAATAAATTATTTCTAATAGCACATAACGTTGTGTATAATTGTTGTACAACATCGTCATGATTTTTATTTGCAAAAAATTACTAATTTGTTTTTAAAAAATGTATAAGTTCATTTAAAAATTAGTTACAATAGCAGTAGAATTAAAATACAAATATTGATAAAACAAGGAAAGAAAAATTACGAATGGAAAATCAGAAATTTTAGATTTCTTATATATGATGACATTATCGATGAAATTAAAATTAAAGAAGTCGAATTGCTGTGAAAAAATGAAATAAAAGAGTAAAGTTAACAAAAAATTGAAGACTACAACTAAATGTACATTTTTTCCTAGGATGTAAATAAGCTTACATTTTACATTTAGCGATTAAAATATACGTACTGGCCAATGAAAATGGAATCAGATGACAATAATTTATTTTTCAAGTAAATCTTCAGAAAAAACTCTTGAATCCATTGGTAACGCACTATAAAAATAAGTTGAAAAAATTTCCAAAAAAACAAATTATAATAACATTATGTGTACAACGTCATGCGTAAAAATAGTTCTCGTTTCAATGAGCTTTCGCGATAAGGTACCGAACAAAGCATATATTATCTTACAGAGCTAGCTTTCTCTGTCAAACTTTTTTGTTCTTAAATTTATAACATATCTTCACCACATACGGGCTACTATTTTTGCATAGCCGTAACTCTGCGATAGTTTTTTTTTTTTTTTTTTTTTTTTTCAAGCAAATCATAAACTAGGCATTTCCTTGTTCGAAAAAATGTTGGCTTTTATAATTTTTCAATCGCGTACATGTCAACGAAATAAACAAAACAAGCCCTCACATGTCCTACGATACGAGGGCGTGCGAGCGGAAACTTTATTCACACCTCAGGAAGTACACAATGTGCCCGAAATTTTGTTTCCAACTAACTTTCTCGAAAGTAGAGTAGCTTATGCGGCAAATTAATTAAGATTCTAGTAAAATAGTAGTTTTCCTACGAGTTTGAAAAGTCTCTGTTTGCGAACCGAGAAGTTTGCGGCCCGAGCCGAAGGCGAGGGACGTAACGAGGTTCGTAAAGGAGACTTTTCGAACGAGTTCCGGAAAACTGCTTTTTCGCCCGAGGAAGTACCAGCCTCCCTAAACCACCTGAGGGTGGAAAAATAATTAGTTGTACTGATAAGATTATAAGTAACAACTAGTGGGATTTTTCTTTCAAGTGTGAGCGCAGGCAAACACTTAAATAAAGGAGACAGAAACATTTTTTTTTTTTTTTTAACTGCTGCAGAGGTTTTTGATAAACCGTTGGCTCCCAGTCGTGTGGCAGTAGTTCTTTTGGTTCAAGGCTTTTTTTGCATCACAGCCATTGCAAGTCAGATATATGGGCAGGGAGAAAATTGCTGAATGGCAGGTCAAGAACAATTTTTCAAGTGAATGGTCAAGGTCTTGAAATAAACGAGAAGGTGAGAACTTTTGCATTATCATTTATAACCATATACATATAGTTTTTTATATTAGAATAGAGTATGAGTATAATAATTCAAAATGATACAAATGCACGCAATCATTTACAATGTTCCTTTTTTTATTCTGTTAACAGCAAAACAACTTATGGAAGAAACGGTTTTTTATTATAAAAAATAAACAACAAAAGTTTTGTTACAAAAACAACACCAAACATACAGATGGCAACACAGAAGTCGAAAGACTGTCTAAGATGCAAAAAATTCAACCAAATATGTGGAAATTACCACGAGCCCTGCAACTCCCATACGCATATGCAGCAAACACCGTCAAACGGAGGCCCAGCTACCTATTCAATAGTCAGGAACCTACAAACGTTCAGTGAAGCCAAATCTACGACAAGGACGAAACTAACCTCCAAAACCAAGGAACCAAGAAATTTTTGTTGCCCTTCTAGCTGCGTCAAAATATCCAATCGTGCACGGGGTAACCACTGCTTCCCTAACACCCCCAACCGCAGTATGCTAAGAACAGATATACCTTTATTGAGAACGATGGAATCGAACGAAAAAATCTCGTGGCCTAACGAGCGACGCTACAATAACAGAACGCTTGACAATTTAAAAGACTTCCATGTGCAACAAACAAACAACTTTAGAATCAACCAAGATAAAGCTTGTACTTATTCAGTAATAAAGCCACATGTACATACTACAAAAATCGAGGAATCAAACGAGGACGTGTCATGGCCTTTCGTTGTTTGCTGCGGCAATACCTTCAATAATTTAAACGACTACAACATTCATCGAATGATCAACTGCAACACTAGCCGAGCCCGAGTTTGTACACAGGTACCCACCACAAAAACTGAGGAACGAAACAAAAAAGTTATGTGGCCTTGCAAACGCCGATGCGGCAAATATTTCGATCATTTGGATGATTACCACGTGCATAATGCGAGCAACTGCCAGACTAGCCGAGCCCAAGTTTGTAGTTCATCGGCAACACAGGTACCCACTACAAAAACCGATGAAGAAAACAAAAAAATCTTGTGGCCTTGCAAACGCAACTGTGGCAAAATGTTCGATAACTTGAATGACTACCGCGTACATCAAACTAGCCACTGCAAGACTAGCAGAGCCCAAGTTTGTAGTTCATCGGCAACACAGGTACCCACTACAAAAATCGATGAATCGAACAAAAAAATTTCGTGGCCTTGCAAACGCAACTGTGGCAAATCATTAGATCATTTGGATGATTACCACGTGCATAATGCGAGCAACTGCCAGATTAGCCGAGCCCAAGTTTGTAGTTCATCAGCAACACAGGTACCCACCACAAAAACCGAGGATTCAAACAAAAAATTATGGGTATGCGATCGCCGATGCGGCAAATCTTTCGATCATTTGGATGATTACCACGTGCATAATGCGAGCAACTGCCAGACTAGCAGAGCCCAAGTTTGTAGTTCATCGGCACCCCATGTACCCACCACAAAAACTGAGGAACCAAACGAAAAAATCTCGTGGCCTTGCAAACGCCGATGTGGCAAATCATTCGATCATTTGGATGATTACTACGTGCATAATGTGAGTATGTGCAAGACCAGTAAAGCTGAAATTTTCTACTCCTGTTCGTTATGCCCGCGTTCGTTTAGTAGACCTGATTTGTTGAGATGCCATATGAAAGGCCACACAAAGGAGCGCAGTAATTAATTAATAAGAGTATCAAGGTTACAAAAACTCCTGTTCATGTCTACGTTTTTTATGAAAAATAATGTTTTTTATTCTTTCCGCTTCTATCCCGAATGTCTCTTTTTTGGTAGGTAAAACTGTTAAGTATTTAATACGTGGTAAACTGTTTATTTTTTTTATTTTATTTTTTTAAATAAACAAATTCACATTCATCGGTAACTAATATATATTAAAACGCAAAACTTATTCGCATTCACAATTTGTAATTGAAATTTACACGTCATATGACTTTATAATTCATTCATATTTAAAATATAATTTATTTTTGTTTTTGTTCTAATTACACGTCGCTTAAATTCAATAATGTTTATCAGTACTTTGTCTAAAAAATTTAAAGAAGTATCCTTACTTTGTAATCGAACACACGAATCCCAACCCAATCGAGTTTAATTTACATAAGAGTCAGGTCATTTTTTTTTCAAAAACTACGGATGATTACAATCAAATTGTTTCACCTTATATTAGGTAATCGGTTACCCGGGAAAGTGTCAATTTTTTCTTCTCTTGGTGTGATCCATTACAATCAAATTTCGGAGTAACAATTTATTGAATAAATTTTCCTTTTACTAAAGAACAAACGGCATACTCCACTGAGGCAGCTTGTAACAATATAATTCCATTGTTTATCAAGCCCTAGTTTTCTTTAACACTATAAAAGGATACGTATATCAAATTTATTAAGTCTTAAGCTTACAAATTTCAGTCGAGTCGCTGATAATATAATAATACAACAAGTATACATCTATATAAAACTACTAATGTAATATCTAAAAGCATGTAAAACGTATAACAAATTAGGACTACGTTATAATTTTATAATTGTACATGTGATTATTCTGCAAAAAATACAATTACGTCGTAACATCAATTGTATTAATGTTCCACAAGTGTACAACATTGTGTAAAAAATCCAATTGAAAAATAAAATATAAATGCAAGTATACTCCAGATGGTGATCATTTCACTATTACATACACTCGTTGGCATTCGCTATCCGCATGTTACATTTTTTAGGTAAGCAACCGATGTTGTAAAAAAAAATCTCCCTTACATTATTTTGAGATAATGCACAGGTACAAGTGTTGGAACACTCAAAATTACAATAAATGACCTGGAGTAAATCTCAGCTCGAATTTACTTACCGCTTTACCCCGGAGAAAAAAAAGTTTCCCTTCACGCCTGTGAGCAAAAATGCAGGGATTTCGACGTGATGATCTAAAATTTTATGGCGTTCGAGACTTTGAGTTAAAAAAAAAAAAAAAAAAAAAAAAAAAAAAAAAAAAAAAAAATCTTTCGAAATGAAGTCGACAATACTCAATAGTCGTGAATTCCTTTGGGTTGTTGCAACTGTTCGACATACGCTTTAATAGATTCCAGCGAAGCGTCATTAGTCTTATACGGATAAGATAAGTTGAACCAGTAAAGCTTTTTTTCCAAATGACTGCACGAACAAGCCGAACTTTGGTGGAGAAAATCAGTTTGGGGTTACAGCTGTGTCGGCTGAAGGCCTTTTTCTTTGCACCGCAGTCATTGCAAGTCATCTAATACCTGGACAGGACTAAAACTGCTGACCCAGAAAGGTTTTTCGAGTCAATGGCATAGAAGCCTTAGGGTTGCACGTAAGCAAGGTTTTTTCTTTTTTTCTTCAATATCTTTCGAATTTTTCTTTACAAAGACTTTTGGATGATGAGAGAGGGTGGGGCGCGAAAACTCGAGATAGCCTTTCAGTTTTGCCACATTAAATGGCATTGTACTTAAAACTTTGTCCCATCATTGAAATACGTATTTTGCTAATCACAAAAGATTCATACGAGCGAGGTGACCGAATATTATGTAACATACGCTATTGTGATTTTACGCAACTTGTACATTAGTTATAGAATATAATATATGCACGTTGAATCAACGAAGAACGCGTATACTCAATTTTTACAATAAAAATGAACATCTTGTAAGGCAAAATACTTATTGGTAACTAAGTATATTATGCATCTTCCGTTTATTTTTGTCTCTATTATGTAATTCCAAGCGTATACGGGGGGGGGGGGGTAACGAAGTTGCTCAGGAGTATACGAAAAAACTGTCATAATTGGTTATCAAGGAATTTTCCAATTAGGCAATAGCAAATAAATATCAATGACAGAGACTTTTCGTACTTTATTTTGGTACAGGTTGTATTGGTTAATCTTAAACTTATTCGACGTGTGATATACTATAATAATGCTCTTGATTGCAATAAAAATGATTTGTACCTAATACAATTTTCGCGTCTTCAAACGTTTGACTAATTAAATTATCGGGTGTGATGTATCGGCTACATTTTAAACATTATGTGAATTGGGTACTTGTCTCAACTTTTAAAAACAACTAAAGAATGCAGAGTCACCGGTTGACTGTTAGTCGAAGGAACATCATTCGTTTGGAATTTTTTTGTTCTTCTCTGACTCATATTTCACAATAGACGATACTATTTCAAGTATTTGAGACTTGGATAAGTGGTTAAATTGCTCTACTGAGATAAGATCAATCTATAGTCACCTCCGACCTGAAAATTCTTCATTGTCCGAGCTGAAACTATACTTTTTCCTTTCTTGATTTCAGGAGCGAAAGAGCCGTACTCTTCCTCTCGGGTTGAAGTTTCATTCACTCCTTAAAGGCAAATATGTAGCGTCTTCAGTGCGAACACTTTCGGCGAAGAACTTGGGCGAGCGCAAAAATAATTTTTATGGTAAGTAGAAAATGCAATTTTCCGACCTCGGGCGTTTTTGAGGGTTAGGTGTGCCCTCGGTAGGAAAAATAGGATTCGCCACATAAGCGTCCTCTATCTGTGGCTACCTTACGTCCATCAGGCCTCAAAATAGCCCCTGGGACGATGACACTTATCCGACGAAAATTACTATATTATTTGGGAAGTTATAAGCTCACCTTTGGTTTGAGTGATAGTATTTGTGAAGAAAAAAGTATTTGATGTTTGGTAAATCTGTGCTAGTAAGTCATGTAACAAGTAGTCGAAACAAGTTTCAGACCTCGAAAAAATACTTTTGTCCAATAAATACTCGTTTGGTCAAAGAACGTATAAAAATTTTCACAAGTTCTAGTGTAAATTACTCCCCCTACAGTAAGAAAATTCTAGATCTCAAATAATTGACCTTTCAGCATTTTTACTGTCGAAAAAAAATTCACAGTTAACAAAAACATTTTTTTTAATCTTGAGAAACAGCAGAATACATTTGTTTCAAAAAAAATTGTAACAAATGAAAAATTCAACAGTCTTTTTCAACTCAATATTTTTATAGTCTTGCCTTTTGGAAAAATTCAAGCATGTTTCTTTCAACGTGTATCGTAATTTTTCAACAAATTATGTCCACTTAATTTTTGGTGAAGTAATAGTTAATAAGCAATTTTTATTATTTAATTGATTAAAAAAATCAATTGGAAAATTTTTAAGCTTTGAAAGAGTATTTTTGTTAATTGCATTATTTCAAACAAGTAATTATCTTGTCTAGCAAACAATAGAATATTTTAATATTCACTTTGACTGGACTATCTTCCTCATGAAAAAAAAATCGTAGTTGCAATACTATATAATATATAATGGGAAACAAGAATTAATAATTGTGGTTACTTTTTTTTCTAGAACCCAAAATAAAATGAAAATTCTGGAAGTGCTACATAACTTCTTTTTAGTTACCAAGATTTTTAAATTTTAAATAAGTTTATCGAGTTATCGGCACCTTTCATAAAAACAAAGCGCTATCGGAAGATAACGTTGAAAAAACCTCTTTATCTTTAAATTTTTTTTTTTTTTTAAATAGAAATGATGTCACTATGGAGATAAAAAATTTATTTGTCGTATAGCGCTAAGTTTTCTACCAATTTAAAGTAGCATTTCTTTTCCCCAAAGTTTCAACACGTACTTATCTAGCTGGAGGAACTCGAGGGGTCACGGGTTCGAGTCCCGTCAAATATATCGAAAACTTTATCTTAGGCTTTTTGGATAGGATGAGTACCCAAGATGTCGAAAAACCACTCATCTGATGATTTTTTAAACGAACTCCTTGTACATTTATATACTGCATTTTACATTTTAGTTAGAACCTACCACATAACGAATAAAAAAGCTTCATATTATTCAAGACTCACATGCTTGGAAAAAAACGAAGGAAAATAGGGAAAAATGGGATATGATAAAATGGGTTATTTAACGATTGAAATATAACTATACATTTTTCTGCTCTAAAAAATCAGAGGCTAATATTAATTAAATAAAGTAGCCATCTAAGAAGTGGATTCGAATCGCGATTGGGTCAACCCGGAACTTTGGGAAACTGCGAAAAAAGTAAAAAAATTGTTTTAATGAGCAATCCTAGCTTAGGAACTAATCTGAGATATGGCTGCCCTAGTCAGGCGAAGGTTCGAATCCCGGTAGGATCAACTTTTTTAAATTTTAATTTGGCTAAAATTTAATTGTTCCCTGGACTTTAGAATGACACGAGGGTGAGCTCCATGGGCATTTTGAGGAGAGAGGCAGGGCCAGTTTGGAATGTCGTAGTTAGGGTAAAGGGTATAAGAATAAACAAGAAGGGTTTTTAGACTGATTGGATATAGGGAAAGTTACTATAATGTAAGTTATATAAATGTAGATAACTACCCACAATATTGTTTTCTTTTCTGTTAATAGCTACAACACCCTCTGAAGAAAAACTTTTTTTAACATCAACCAATAGCATTTCAATTGTGAAAATGAATAATACGCCAACAACGTCGACGATGACAACAAAAAATAGATTTAGCAACCATTACAGTTCCAAAAAGCTCGATCAAATGGGTGAAAATTATCGTATGCCGTGCATACCCCAATGGGACCAAGAAATGCAGATGCAGCACGCAACATCCAGTCTGATTCCAGATTCTCACTCACTAATCAGGAACCTACCTAAATTCAACCGAGACAAACTCAT